GTAATTCCATATACGCTCACATATCCTTTATTTTCCTTTTCCAGAATTGTTGGAAAAGACGAAAAAATGACAAAGTTTACGATGAGTCGAAATTCTCATTCCACCTGTTTCTTCATTACTATATTGTACTACATGGCGCCTCATAGTAAGGAAAGACGACCAGACGCTGCTGAACATAGCAAGCTAACAGAAGAGTGTTTACCAGCGATAAACGCGTTGGGTCTAAACTTCTGACTGGCAACGTCTTAATGTCATCAGTATCTAGCTGGGGGGGGAATGACCCCCAGAATCAATAACTCTGTAAGTCATCGACGCTTGATGCTGACCATATTAGTTTTAATGGACTCATCTGGCTGAAGGCGCTCGGTCAAGCATCCGCACCAAATCATGAGTGGTTATGCTGTGCTCAACTTCTCCTACAACTGCTATCCAGTTTAGATTAGTCAATTCCTAATGTATTGATAACTTATCAAATATATCTTCGGAACTCTTCGCTTCTGACTTTTAATTTCACTGAGTTGGCAGGTTTCAATTATAGGTGTTACTGGTTAAGATGTTGTCAAACTCCAAATACCTGTGGCATTTTCATACTGGATGTCAATAATTTATGTATATATTGCAAATTAAAATGAGTTGTTTGTTGCAAAATGTAACAAGGCACTTAAATGTGGTAGATGAATCTGACGTATCTCTCTAATCAAGAAGATACTGCATTTCTGACTGAGAGCGTTATGAACTAGGTAAACATTGACGTCTATTAATCGCTGTAAATATCAGCTAACCACTCGTAAATTCCACTTTGAAAAAGGAATTTATATCACTTTACTATGAAGAGGGAAATCAAATAGCACAATTTTGAAACTAAGACTGAAAATGGTTGCCCAGAAAACATATTATGGTGTCGAATATTTCATATTTAGGTAGACTAGGTATTTGCTTCCATATAGACCCCAACATCGCATAAATGTTTACATCCCATTTACTAAGTTCAATGTGTGTAGACCCACACTCAGGGAGGAGCGATCGAACAATATGATCTTGGTTGGTGAAACATGATTAAGTGGCACATGAATTAGTTAACATCAAATGACCAATAAATACAATGAGATTACCATGCCCTGTAATGTTGAAACATAATTAAAACAGGCCATACGATTGACCTTACATCGTCCTTCAAGTCTTTGTGTAGAATTTGTTGATGACGCATTTTTAGGATTGTGGAAGCCTTGGTCAACAAAACCGAATCTTCTTTGTGTGTATAAAAGCAATTTTTTCTAACCTTGAATCTGTCCTGATTATCTTTAATCCAATGTAATAGTTAGATTTGTGTGACACCTTTTTTCTTCTCATATTATATTTTCTCTCCTCTATTTCTAATTATCACATTTCATTTCTCTGAACTTTTATTCGGATGACCTTCACTAGTTTTCAAAATAATAACAAGTATATGTGTGACTAGTTTCTAATGCCAATGCGCAATATCGTAAATTATTCGAATATATTAAATGGAAATCATTGGATGCTGGCACAGTGGTTCCAAAGGTTAAGAGCTTGTAGTGAAATTTAAAAATCTTTAGTTTAATATGGCTCGGTAACTCAGAGTCTAGCATTGAATAAAAAAAAAAACTGGTAATATTTCAACTTTCATGAAACTTGAATTTAGTAGAAGGGAGATTTTATGCAATGATGATATATACGGTTATTTTATCAGTTATATAGAACAAACATCATATGCGCACGTCAATATGTAACCATTAATTCAACATTTATATAGAGTTAAGTACGCTGAACGTAATAAGTGAAGAAATACACTTGAGCAAAGTTATCAGGGTGAAATGTATGCATCTCCGAAGTTCATCCAGTCAATCTCTTATCAAGTATAAACTGTTAAGAAATTTGAGTCTCTAAACTAAACAACCGTATATAGAAATATAATAGACTATTTTGATATTTCTGAAACGTAAAACGTCATTGTACTAGTATACGCAAATATAGGGTATGCAAGGTAGTTTCTATAAATTTGAGACATGGATGATATGGGATCAATGGGCATAGAAACGTGATCATATGATAGAGATTATTGGGAAAATATTAATAATAATACAACCATCAATTGAAAAGAAAGAACGAGAACAGCCAAACCTATCTAGGAGGATGCAAAAATTGGAAAGCAAAAAGCTCGAAATACAACTAAAAAAACCAAATATCAAACTATTGTAGACAGTAGTTAAGACGATTCTACAGAAGGACTAGACAAAAACTGTTAATTTCAGTCTAGGAAGCAGATGATTAATAAACACAAACTTAAGATATGATGGTCTCCTATGATGGACTAAACTGCCAAATCGTCCACGGAGGACAACTCACCGACTCGTTTCAAGTAAAGACCGGTGTTAGGCAAGGTTGCTTACTCTCACCCTTTCTCTTTCTCTTTCTCCTGGTCATCGACTCGATCATGAAGACGTCAACGACTGGAGGAAAGCACGGGATACAGTGGACAGGCAGGATGCAGCTTGACGATTTAGACTTCGCGGATGATCTGGCTCTTCTATCACAAACGCAACAACAAATGCAGGAGAAAACGATCAGTGTAGCAGCAGCCTCAGCAGCAGTAGGTCTCAATATAAACAAAAGGAAAAGCAAGACTCTCCGATACAATACAATATGCACCAATAAAATTACACTTGACGGAGAAGCTTTGGAGGATGTGGAAACCTTTACATATCCGGGCAGCATCATTGATAAACATGGTGGATCAGATGCAGATGTGAGGGCGCGTATCGGCAAAGCAAGAGCAGCATACTTACAACTGAAAAACATCTGGAGCTCAAAACAATTGTCAACCAACACGAAGGTTAAAATTTACAATACAAATGTCAATACAGTTCTACTGTATGGGAAGGAGACGTGGAGAACTACGAAAGTCATTATCCAGAAGATACAAGTGTTTATTAACAGCTGTCTACGCAAAATACTTCGGATCCGATGGCCAGACACTGTCAGCAACAAGTTACTGTGGGAGACAACAAATCAGATTCCAGCGGAGGAAGAAATCAGGAGGAAGCGCTGGAAGTGGATAGGGAACACTTTGAGGAAATCACCCGATTGCGTCACAAGACAAGCACTCACATGGAATCCTGAAGGTCAAAGGAGAAGAGGAAGACCAAAGAACACATTACGCCGAGAAATAGAGACAGACATGAGAAGGATGAACAAGAACTGGATAGAACTAGAAAAGAAGGCCCGGGACAGAGTGGGTTGGAGAATGCTGGTCGGCGGCCTATGCTCCATTGGGAGTAACAGGCGAAAGTAAGTAAGTAAGATATGATGGTGATTCCAGAATGCAGAAATGGTCAACAACAATGTAGTAAATTACAATAGGTCCGAATGCATTATTCAAGATTGAAGAACACAGCTATCTAGTGATGGAAATCCAAATAAAAAAATTACCTGCATACGAAACAGAACTGTTAAGTGAAAAAACACTAACGAGATTTTCTCCTCGAAATGTTCAGTATTCTTATTAATACAGGCTGTTGTATAACAATTCCTGATACCGCTACCCAACGACTAGTAGCTACGTACTTGTGTTTAAAACAACGGTTACTTGTTTGTAGTAATCATAAATATAATTTTGCAACTTCATGATGGGATACCTCCTATGATGAATCGTTTTATTTGTGAAAGGTCAATTTTATTGAGTATTGGGGTCTGTATTACATGGTGAATAATTGTACGTTGAATAAGTAACAAGCAATTGTTACCAGCTTCTTCCTTTTTGGGTTGAATTATTAAGATTTTTGATGTGATATTGTTACAAACAGGAATATACCCGCATGATTATAATTTACACATGACCAACTGAATCATATACAACACAATGAAGTGTATTAATATGATTTTATGCACAATTGAACCCTTGAGAGTGTACATGTGTTTGTAAATTTAAAGTTGATTAATTTCCTTCTATCTACAAATTGTGTTAACCTTAATAGGATCTTCCATAAATTTTCCCTCTCGGGTCATGACTTATACCATACTTGTCAGTCAGTGACACTAGGAGTGTAAAATGAGGAAGTCAGATTTGCAAGAAAAAGCTGTTAGTCAACAAAATAACCCAGAGTTACTCAACATGACTAAAAGCCAATTGACACAAGAGATAGAGGATTACAATTCTCAGTTTACAAGAGTAATCACTTCAAATGCGTTATTTCATACTTGAACAACTGACACAAGGAAATCGCCTAATTAAATAAGAGACAAGAATAAATCAGATATCTTAATGGGAAGGAAATGGCTGGTAATCACAATATTCAACCTGCCCGAAGCTACCATTTTACCAACAAATTTAAATTTAACAGAATACTTTAAGTAAAACATATTGGAATGACGTATCACACACTTTGATAGGTTTGCGTTGTTATCGTCTTTACTTTCTTCTCAGCACCTCGTTCTTTGTTTATTTTTTATACTACTTATTAATATTCAGTACATAGTTGTATTCCTAACAATTTCCGCTCTTATATTGTCACGCAGGTTTGTCGCGTAAAATATTTACAGGTACTTATAACATAACAGCTTTCTTTCAATCTCTCTATCAGTTATTCACGATTTTGTATGGTCGTTGAATCTTTGTTTAAACGCAACGACTTCCATATTTGTTTGTTTTAGGTTCCCTTTTTGATTGTTGATAAACTGCTATCAAGATTAAACAGCCATCATTTGTACTATTGTAAGTCATAATTATACTCCGTGTTATCATTACAGGAATTCATTTTTCTTTCAGATGAGCTAAGAGCCACAGATACCTCGCAAGTTGAGGTTTATAACTAATTTCTATCTATTCACCAATACAGAACCGCTTTTGAAAGAGACCATTGTTTTATGAATTTAGGTCTCACGCGTATCTCATTCGTGTGATTAGACGCTTCAGTAGAATTAACATATCTACTACTTAATATAATTTTATAACACGAACCTAAGTACTTAAACATTAGAAAGACGATACTTTACAATATATTTAAATAAACTTGATAGTATGGGAAATTCGGTACAGATATCAATAGTTTACCATTAATAAGAGGTATTATGATGCACTTATATTCAAGAAGTTCATGTAACACAAGTTTCGATAATTGCTAAACAAAATCATCTAAGAAATTTCAGTAAGAAAATATTAAGATGAGCCAAAATTATGGCTAATTCAAATGCTTCTATTATAGAATTATATCTGTTAAAAAAGTTGAACATTTATTTTTACTTCATTATGATAGGACCAAACGTCACTTGATTTTTTAGTGCTTTTTCAGGTCGATTAGATTATAATGACAAAATTTCATCTGATTTGTAGCCTGTTACTTAACCAACTAGCATATTCTTCAATTTCTTCATAACTTTCACAAAGTGTAATAATATTTCTTGGTATAGTTGAATTACTGTCATTTGGAATGCCAATATATCCACCAGCTAATGCAGTAGCCATACAACCAATGGTATCAGTGTCACCACCTAATCCGATCGATAAGACAATAGAACGTAGAGGAGGTGACTAAGAACAGAAAGAAAGCAATCAAATTATATATATAATTCTATATTCAATAATTTTTCGAAGTAATCACAAACCTATTTGTTTAACTAGTAATAAAATACCGAATGATGGAGACTGGCCTTAGGAAAATTTCGTATAAGATATATTAGACTCCAACTTAGTGATTTAAAGATACATTTACCGAGAGAACTGACTGTCATGAGTTAGGTTCTCACATGGGGCCGTATGCACAGATGAGAAGCTGCCTCAACAGTTAAGACAAAGCAGCTTCCCAATCCGATCCAGTTTTTAATAGTTTCCTAGTTTGTTTCAATTAATTATGGTAATTATCTTGACAACATTTACGAAGTAGCCTTCAACTTATAGTCGGTTAAAAAACACATCAAAACAGAAATAATATGTCAGTAAAAAACAAACAAAAGATATCTCACATCAAACTCGATTCCGTCTATAGGTTTTAAACTACGCAGAAATACATATAATGCAGATGGAACAGAGTTGATGGCTTTTAAATCATTACCTAGAGCGCAGTAGAAAAACAAAAAGTAGTAAGTTAGTAAAGTGTCAATTTATGATCAATATAGTAGTAATACAAAAAATCGCGTGAATAAAATGCATAGTAAAAGAGTTTCGTCTTGTTAATGGCGGTAATAACAATAGTAATAGTTATAATAACGTTGTGTGATTATAACATGTAATAAGCGGTGTTGTCAAGGTAATTGTGTTAAAAAAGTTCACGTGTTCTTGTTCACTACACAAGGAGGATCAATGCAGAGAGCACAAAAATACTTTTTCACATTATCCTAACGTCTTTTATTTGAATAACCACCTATTTTCATAGTCCAGGACTATAATGCGTGTGTAGGAGTGTAAGCGGTCGTTGACGATACATGAAGTACGGCTTGTTTGGAGAAGTGACGTCGTGGTTAAAGCATCGGACTTTTAGCCACTAGTTCCCAGATTTGAACCCTCAGTATACCTAGTTCAGTTTAGAAAAAGCAGTTAGTATAATTAGCCCTCACAATAAAGGTTTGGTTCATACGCCGATATAGCCTACCTAAGGTTACTGACAATCCAGAGTCCGAATAAGGGAGGAAGGTTGTGCATGGGGTTAGCAACCACATCCCATAGAAAACAACAATGCTAGTCAGAGGAAACGATTAAAATCATTTAAACTCTGTCCTTCGAGTTGAAGAATCTTCATTTGGAAGAGTTATAACGCCTCATGGTGAAAGCCGACATTCTTCGGAAGCAATGAAGTCGATACGCCTTCTAACAACCAACTCAACTATTAATATAGGTACATGGAATATCCGAACAATGTGGTGACTGGGAAGACTAACCAAATAGCTCGGTGCCTGGAATAATTGAAACTTATTAGACGTAAGCTGGACAGAAAAGACTAAATTCGGGAGAGGTACTGTTGTACTCTGGTCATGAAGAAGATGCTTCGCACATACCAGGGGTTGTAATAATGCTTTCCAAGGATGCACGGAAAGCACTTACAAAATGGGGATCTCGTGAACCTAAGCTCATCAAAGTACCCTTCAAAACAAAGAAGGAGGGTATCACAATGAATATCATCCAGTGTTATGCACCCATCAGTGATAAAAATGATGATAAATACCAGTCTTACGAGAGGCTGCAAATGATAGTCAGGAAAGGACCTGACAACCCAGATGGCCAACCTAGGTGACAAAGTCGGAATGGAAAACACCGAGTATATAGATATCACGACATGGACTTACTTACTTACGCCTGTTAACCCTCGTTGAGGAGCATAGGCCGCCCACCAGAATTCCCCATACAACCCCGTCCTGGGCAATCCTTTCCATATCTGCTTCTATTTCCCGACGTAATGTGTACTTCGGCCTTCATCTTTTCCGCTTTCAAGTTAGGGCTTGCCTTGTGATGCAGTTTGGTTATTTCCTTAATGTATCGCCGATCCACTTCTAACGTCTTTTCCTAATTCCCTCGCCAGCTGGAACCTGGTTTGTCCTCTCCCATAAAATGCTGTTGCTGATGGTATCCGCCCAGTGAATGTTGAGTATTTTGCGTAAACAACTGTTTATAAATACTTGTACCTTCTTCACGATGCTTTCAGTAGTTCTCCACGTTTCAGCTACGTACAGTAGGACTGTCTTAACGTTTGTATTGAAAATTCTCACTTTTAAATAAGTTGACAGTTGCTTTAAGTCCTATATGTAGAAATGCGGTCCTCGCTTTGCTAATCCTCGCCTTTACATCTGTATCCGATCCCTCTTGTTTATCAAGGATGCTTCCCAGTTACGTGAATGTCTCCACCTCTTCCAGAGTTTCGCCATCAAGTGTGATTGGGTTGGTGTTCTCCGTGTTGTATTTGAGAATCTTGCTTTTTCCTTTGTGTATGTTGAGGCCTATTGATGCAGAAGCTGTTGCTACATTTGTTGTCTTCATCTGCATTTGTTCGTGCGTATGAGAGAAGAGGGCTAGGTCATCTGCGAAGTCCAAATCATCTAATTGATTCTGAGAAGTCCATTGTATTCCGTATTTCCTTTCAGATGTCGAAGTCTTCATAATCCTGTCAATCACCAGAAGAAAGAGGAAGGGGGAGAGTAGACAGCCTTGTCTGACTCCGGTCTCTACTGGAAATGCATCTGTCAGCTGTCCTCCATGCATGACTTTGCAATGTAGTCCACTGTATGAGTTCTGGATAATGTAGACAATCTTCTGAGGAACTCCATAGTGTCGAAGAAGCTTCCGTAATGTTCTCTGATCCACACTGTCAAACACCTCATAGTCAATGAAATTGATGTATAGTGACGAATTCCACTCAACTGATTGTTCCACGATCATCCGTAGTGTCGCAATTCGGTCTGTGCACGACCGATCCTAACGAAATCCAGCCTGTTGATCTCGAAGTCGAGCGTCTACTGCGTCTTTCATCCGGTTGAGCGACACTCCATTGAACACTTTTCCTGGAACTGGCAACAGTGCGATGCCTCTGTAATTCTCACATTTGATTAGATCTCCTTTCTCTGGTATATTGATGAGTTATCATTCTTTTCAATCTGTTGGCACTAGTTCCTCCTCCCGAATCTTCTTGAATAGAAACTGAAGCATGTTTGCTGTTACGTCAATGTCTGACTTCAGAGCTTCGGCTGGTACATTGTCAGGTCCTGCTGCTTCCCCTTTCTTGATTTGTCTGATGCCCATCTAAACGTCTTCGATCGTTGGTAGAGTGACATATATAGGAAGGTCTGAAAGTGTTGCTTCGATATCCTGTGGATTCAGTGGGACTGGTCTATTCAGCAGTTCCTCGAAGTATTTTGCCTATATTTTCCTCTGTTCTTGAATCTCCGTGATTGTCTTTCCTTCTTTATCCTTGACTGGTCTCTCCGGTTTGCTATATCTCCCTGCTAGTTTCTTTGTTGTTTCATATTCCCTTCTCTTGCAGCTTTTTCCACCGTCGTCGCTAGTGCTTCTACGTATTTCTGTTTGTCGTCTTTAATCCTCTTCTTTATTTCCTTGTTTGCTTCTGCATACTCTACTTGCGCCTTGACTTTCTCTGCTCGTGTTCGACTGTTGTCAATTGCTGTCTTCTTGTTTTTCCTTTCTTCAATCTTGTTTAAGGTTCCCATAGAGATCTATTCCTTATTCTGATTCTTCTTGCGACCCAAAACCCCTTGATACGTTGAAGTTAGTGCTTCTCTGATCCCTTTCCAGTTGTCCTTCTTCTTTCTGTAGGTCCTGTAGAGCTCGGAACCTGTTGTTGAGAGTTATCTTGAATTCGTTGAGTTTGTGAATATCTCGAAGGAAGGCTGTAGTGAACATCTGTAATACTGTTTCCCCAGTCGTCCAGTGTTTCTTTAGCTTCAGTTTCATCTTGGCCACAACCAGGTAGTGATCTCAATCTATGTCAGCTTCTCTCCTGGTTCTCTGTGGTGTGGTCTGGTGAGACCCATGTAGCTTTGTATATACGTTTGTGTGGAAATATTGTGCCGCCTATAACCGATTTGTTGAATGCGCATAGATTTGCAAATCTCTCAATATTTTCATTTCTCTCTCCTAGTCCATGTCGTCTCATGATATCTCAATACCCGTTGTTGTCCATTCTGACCCTATCGTTTGGATCTCCCATCAGGATGGTGAGGTCCTTTCTTGAGCACTTAGCTATGATTGATTGCAGCCTTTCATAGAACTGATCTTTATCGTCGTCGTTGCTGTAATTGGTGGGTGCATAACATTGAATAACATTCATTGCAATGCCCTCCTTCTTTGTTTTGAATGATGCTTTGATAATTCTGGATCCAAGAGATTCGCATCCTGTAAGTGCATTTCGTGCTTCTCTGGATAGCATTAGAGCAACTCCTTGAGTGTATGTAGCTTTTCCAATGGGTTTCGCTGATTCCAAGTACTGCCAATTTGTATCTTCTCATTTCCGTTGCTATTTGACTGGTCTTCCCAGTCTCCTACATTGTCCGGACGTTCCATGTACCTATAAAAATTGTTGCTCTGGTTGTTAGAAGGGAGATCAGCCTCGTGACTTCCGAAGAATCTCGGCTCTCATCATGAGGCATCATAATTCTTCTTCCAACTTCCGGGGCAGAGTTTAAGTGGTTTGAATTATTTTTTTCTGGTTAGCGTTATTTTAGCGGGTTAGTTTTCTACGGGATTGGGTCGCTAACCCCATGCCCAACCATCCTCCTTTACCTGGGCTTGGGACCGGCAGTAACTATAGAAGAGCTACAGGCGGAGTTACGACATGGTCTGACGGAAAGGAAAGAAATCGGTGAGAGATTTGCAAACTTATGCGCTTTCAACAAAATGGTTATTGGTGGCAGTATATTCCCTGACAAAGGCATTCATAAATCTACATGGGTCTCACCGGACCACACCACAGAGAACCATGTAATCCCTGCAAAAAAATAATAAAATGTAAGTAGGAAACTCCATCAACAGTCTAAGAAGTCGGGATGGCCATCAGACAAATCAAGAGTGGGAAAGTAGCAGGACTAGACAACGTACCAGCTTAAGCACTGGAGTCAGACATCGATGTAGCTGCAAAGATGCACCACATCCTATTTAGAAAGATTTGGGAGGAAGAACAAAAGCCGAAAGGCTGAAAGGGAGGTGTTTCTATCCAACCGCGTTCTGATTTGGGGAGTTGCCGGGCGAAATGATGTCCAAGAATACTAGGCAATAATAGTTAGATCGTAATAAGATAAATCATAACAGAAGGGTACCTCATTAAGTTACTGAAGAAAGGAAATCTCAGAAACTTCATGAAATTAGTTCCCTTTATCAATTCGTATAAAGCCAAAACAACAATTGAGGCAGAATAATATGAATTCACCATTTTTCGTGGTTCCTTATCACCTATTTACAACCATGTATGTATTGAAATGTAACATTGGGGTAAAACAATGTGAAACAATAATGATTATATATATGGACAAGTGCGCATGAAATACAGCTATATGATTACTAATTACAAATAATAGGAGTAGTATATATATTAGTATAGTATATATTAGAATTAGAGATCGATAAGATGGGTTATGTAATAATTGAACAGGATTTGAAGAGTTTACATAAGTTTTAAGTAAATGAAAATAACAGCAATATGGATTTACCAAAGTGATAAGTTGGTCTTTGTCTCTTTCTGGATTAGTAAATCAGGTTTGAGTTTTTTTATTGCTGCTTCGGCGAACCGGATACATTGCACTTATGTCTGCTAATAATTTTAAAGGATTGTGGAATGTTAATGGTATACCTGGTACCAAAAAGTGTGAGAACTATAGGGGCATCACACTACTATCAGCACCAGGAAAAGTTTTCAACAGTATTTTGAACCGGATGAAGTATTCAGTAGACGCCAAACTTCGAGATCAATAGGTCATATTCCTTAAAGATCGGTCGTGTACAGATCAAATTGCAACACTACGGATCATTGTTCAACAATTAACTGAATGGAACTAGTCACTAAACATCAACTTCATTGACCATTAGATGTTTGACAGCGTGAATGGGAGAACCTTATGGAGTCTTCTTCGGCATTATAGTGTGCTTAAGAAGATTGTCAACGTCATAAGAAATTCATACGATGGACTATACTGCGAAGTCGCGGATGGAGAACAGCCCACAGATCCATTCCAAACGAAGGTCAAAGTCAGACAAGATTGTCCAGTCACGCCCTTCCTTTATCTTCTGGTGTTTGACTGGATTATGAAGACCTCCACATGTTAATGGAAACACGAACTACAATGGACGGCTTGCAAGCAGTTAGACGATTTGGACATTACAGATAACCCAGCTCTTCTATCCCATACACACGGATAAATGCAGGTAAAAACAATAAGTGTAGTAGCCGCCTCCAAAGCAGTAGGTTCCAATATACACAAAGAAAAAACAAGATCCTCAGATACAACACAAAGAGCACCAAAACAATCGCACTTTATGAAGAACCTCTGGAACAAGTGGAAACTTGCACGTATCTGGGAAGCTTCGATGAACAACGAGGATCCGATGCAGATGTAAAGGCAAGGATTGACAAAGCGAGAGCAGCATCCCTACAACCGAATAAAGCATGGAAGTCAAAACAACTGTCAGACGACACCAGAGTAGAAATATTCAATACAAACGTCAAGACAGTTCTACTATATGGGGCTGAAACTTACAGAACTACTAAAACCATCATCAAAAAGAGTACAGGTTTGTAAAAGTAATAATCTACGCATGATACTCAATGTCCGTTGACCAGATGCTATCAAAAACAATGTATTATAGCCGAGTATAAACCAGCTTCTATCTGAAAAGGAAATTAAGAAAGATGCTCGAGGTGGAAAGGACAAACATTGAATTCGTCATCAAACTGCATCAAGAAACAATACCTAACTTTGAATCCTGAAGGCGCACAGAAAAGAGGAAGACTAAAGAACACCTTGCGTCGGGAATAGGAGGTAGAAATCAAAAGAAGGAATCTTCAGAATGTACATCGGAAAGTTGAATAAACTTGATGATCAACGATCTCTACATATACGATGGAAGCAAAAGAAATGTTTCTCGTGAAAAAATAAACCTACCCAATCGATCGACAATATTTGTAACTGATGGTTGTTTATCGTCTATCAAGAGATATTTAACTATTTGTAATTTTTCTTTATAAGCATCAAGTGCTTCTAACCAATTGGGTTGTTTAAAATTTACAAAATATTCTGTTTTCTCTAGTTTTTCTAATAAGTTATCGATGAAGGTTACATAATCCAGTTGTATATGATCATGTATCAAAGAGAAAATCATTTGTATAGCATATGCTTGCAAAAGTGCTCCACATATAGCCAGTGGATGGGTATGAGTTAACCGAGTAACATCGATAATTATTTTCTGAAATACAATGATAAAGTAACATAAAGGTGCTAGCTTGTGGATGATATTTTAAGATAAATATATAACAGAAGATACTGACTTAAAACCAATTGATGGGTCAGTTAGAGTATGAACAGTTCTTCACTGGTTAAAATAGATTAATTAAGTTTGGATTGAACTTTTAAATTTAATGCATCTGGAATCGAAATCTCAATTGCGTTTATAAAGTCATGAATGACCTACTTCCAAGTATTACGGAAAAGCATGTCGAAAAATAAAGTGAAGTCTCTACCAAGTTGCATTCTTGCCTTTACGATTTCAATCTTATATTACAGTTAATAAAAATTCCATAGCAATCAATGAACATCGATCATATCTTTTGTAAAAATTTGACAGAAATTCATAATCGGACACAAGTACATCCCTCACTGTACTTCTTGACAGGATTTGACGATACCAAATGATTGACTGACACTAAGGTGTTGATGTAGGAGATTTTCAAATTTGAGGTTTCCCATCACGAACTAATTTGGGTTAAACAACCAATGAAATAAATGAAGCATTGGATATCTGTTTTGGCCTAATATGGGACCCATCAATGGTAAACATCCATGATACTAACAAAATCAGTCCATAACAAGATATAAAATCAAAAGGAATTTTGTTATTAGTAAGCACTACAATCAAACCACCTAGTTCAGACACTCAAAAACACCAAAAGCATCCATATGAGCTGCAAATCTCCATTATTTAACTGAAACGTATAAATGAGAATTAAACTGTCTATGAGTAAATATCTAAAGTATGCAAGTTATGAGGTAACCTGAATTCAGGCCTTATTCATAACTGAAGTTATCCTGCTTTTATTATGCAAGATATTCCTTATTAAGAGATCTGGAAAAGGAACCGAACTAGTAGTGGTTCGGAAGAGTAATCACACAAACAAACGGACACTTGTTAGAAGTTGGTAGCCTACAACGTTTATGTGTTTATGTTTGTAGGATTAACCCCATACTTTCCGAATCTAACTATTGGTATCCGAAATCCATGGCGTAAGAAGTATCTTGTTTTTAAGATATACCTTGTTTGACCTCTTTTCTTGTTGTCTGTTGAAATGAACACCATTAAAAACAAAGTGTTATTATTGGTTTTACTGATTAACACTAATTGGCAGATAAAATGTTAGTGGTTGTATCTTTGAATAAGCTGTTGTAACGTTTATTATGGCCTGTAACCTCATAAGCGTATGGGGAAACTAAAATTTAATCATTGACAGTCTACTTATTTGGTAGCCAAATTAAGTCTCATAAACATCATAGCGTGATATACCTTTTATTTCGTATACATTGAACGTTATCTAAAATATATGGTTCATGTTCTTGATATCAACAAGCCATATCAAGCTAGTAGTGTAAAAAATTAGTAAAACACATCATTTCGATACATTTCTTGATTTTTTTTTTAAAAAAACGTCTGAATTACTTCAAAAATGATATTCGATTCCCTTTTCACTTAAAACAAGTCGAGATATTCTGAGAAATTCGATCAACTATAAGTACATTTCTCCAATCTGATTGTAAACTAGTGAAATATTATACTGCAGTACACGATAGTGTGAACTGCTTTTTAAATTTTTAAACAAAGGTTAGACTGCCAAACACTCAATACACATAATACACAAGATACAAGCTTTCTGTCAGTTTTTATGAAGTACACTAAGGATAACTGAACACAAACGACTATTTCACATACATTCTGTACAACCATCCGATTTCAAACACTTGTGATTTGTAATAAATTCCCTGCTGGTCCGAAAATATTATTTCTAAGTATATAAACAATTATAATTGATAAAACTGAAAGAATAATCAACTGAAGGACAACTCACTTCAAATTCACGTTTAGAATATCGTAATCCATATAGCGCTGCAGGTGCGATTCTCATAGCTCCACCGTTACCATATGATCCTGTCCCATTAAATAAATCAGCAGCATGAGCATAGGGGTCTTTGTAGTTCATCATCTTAAGTGAGTAAAAAGTGCGCCCAACAGAACCACCATAGCACCTATGTGATCCATTTTCAAAGTAGTCAGTAGTGAACCTGATAATATGGAGGAGAGTATTTTGCGAACACTTGGTAAATCACTCCATAGAGGTGACAAAACTTAAGGAGTACTAACCTGATCTTTTTAGTAGATAGAAACGCAAATTTCGAAGCTCATTTATTCAAACAAAAATAAAGTGAGCTGCTCAAAAATGTACTATATCAATATGGTTTCCAAAAACGTAAACAGCCAGAAAGGAAACATACAGATAGGGAAAAAAGTCGGAAAACTTTCGCTATTAATTTTTCTTTGTTGAGTCGCAAAGATATTGTTGATGATGCACCGATTGGTAGGAAGCCATATTACTCTAAACAGTACTTGTATGTTTTGCGAATAGCAAAGCAAGAGTGACTTTTTATCCTGACAAAGATTTGACTCTGTTTTCTGCTACCAGTATACTTGGCGAAGCTTTATTGTAACAAGGTGCAGTAGCATTCGGTTTAATGAATGGGTCGAGAAAGATGATATCTTTTATTAACCGATAGCGTTAGTATGACTACGACAATTTGATTAAGCCTTGTGAATAATATAACCAGTTATTTAGGTACAGTGGGAACCGAATAAGACGAATGCAGGCTTCTATAATTAAAAATTAAATATCAGAGATTATATAGGGAAGACAGGTCCTCAATATTTTCTTATGAATCTAAAATATGGACGACAAAGCCATTTCTACTTACTCTTTAGCCAAATGTTCTGCATCGAAGCTATTCCTAGCCCTTAATGACCGGAGAATCGCAAGACTCATTTGTGTATCATCGCTGTACATCAGCTGTTTAGTATCAACTAAAGACACAGATTAGAAACGGAAACTTTGTACACACAGCCATTGATTGACCTTTGCAGCAGTTCCAAAGGAGTGCTGTAATTTACTGCTGGTTTGCCTTCGTACAAGAATCCATAACAATCTCCCATCAATCCCCCAATCAGTACACCACGGCAGAAAGACAAGTAATCCATTGTGAGAAGATAAGTACGTTTGAGTCTTCTGATTACTTGAAACCTGGGTAAACCAAAGAACAATTATTAAAATCAACGCATTTTGTTAGGCTAAGTTTGCTGAACAATCTATATATTATTCAAAACTATCAAACAAAAAGAGTGGATTCTGTACTCCTGAAAATCTTTACTTGGATTGTTGGTGTTTTTAAGTATATATGGGCACTAATGTTGATAATCTTTGAAGAATTTTGAAGAAAAAAACTAGTTAAAAGACTGATTGAGGCCATGAATGCAGAATATAGTTTAAACTACTATTGGTTTTAAAGTACATTTTTGGTTTCCTTTAGAAGGAATTAGGAAATAGTGTCATTTCTTTAGCAATCAAACCCCACCGCTTCCCGACATGTTACAAAATATTTCGCACGTATTTTCAAGCGATCTTTCTGTTACACTGTAGACATTGATATAAAAGCGCTATCATTGCAATAAAACTTGAAAGTAACTTATTTACTCGAATTTACACGAATTTCTCCCCATCCAGATATCATAAAAATATGACTGTATTATTCTTAGAGGTGATCAGTTAGCTCATTGAGACTAGAAGGCATCAGAGTATATTCTACTCCTCAATTTTGATAAGGCGTGAATGGAGAGCATAGGAAATAGGGGCATCAAAAACCACGGTCTCGTAGGGAACTACACTGGGTTCCTGTCTCTTCGTTATATTTGTCGATAACTTCAGATTAAAGTCAGTGCATAGGTCATTCTTTATCCTGACAAAATCAAGCTATAAAGGTTAAATAAGTGTGAAGAGAACTCTGTGAAGCTCCAGAGGAACCATAATACATTGGAGAAATGAGCAGCAAATAACTGTCTGAAAGTTAACTTACCTAACTGTTATGTCATGTACATCCGAACCCACATATCGCAACAAACAACTTACGTCCTTTGCAATCATCGCAATCATTGATGCCTTAACAGAGCAAGATCTAAGTCTAGAACGAGTAGATACCAGTTTCGACTGCTTTGGAGGCACAGCTAAAGCCTATGTTATAATACATTATCCCCAAGGACAACTCGATATGGTCACTCCCAAACTGTTCTCAACCCCCCTTGAAAGGTGCATATTATCTAGCACTACGAATAATGCATGCAAGTGGTTAGACAAAGCCTATAAGGCGCGATCAATCCTTAAAAACAGGACAAAATCACGAATAAATCAACTGATTTAGAGTAGACTCATAATAATATTGAATGTTGAGAGGGAGTCATGAGTATTCTGATACATAATTATTCTTTCAACCACTGTTTGATAAATTTAAAATACTAAAAGTTGTACGACCATAAAACCCGAATTCCTTTACAATCCCGGAGATCCCAATTTCTAAGCAATCATTAGTTTGAAGCATGAAGAAGATCTAATGAGGTGGATATGACTTGAACATATAGCACACCACGATCACATTTCTAATCCAGCAATGATGGACGGATTACAAGTCGGCAGCTTCTAGTACGCTCTGAAGTCAAGCAAACTGTTCATAGACTTGGTCAAAAAACAGTATTACACTACACTTTTAATCATCAGCCAGGATTTCCAGCAAGTTTTAGGAAATATTTCGGTGTATATAATATATACAATATATATAATGTACTTTATTGGATATCCAATAAAGTACATTGGTAAAATTCCAGGAAGTTGACTTCTAGTAATTTACAAAAATGGGATTGACCACAGTTAATATACATGAATTTAAGCTGGCTTAAATTGTTATGCAGGATGACGAAAGTTTCAGTGTTTGGTGTAATATGTTCGTTCTAGGACAGACTTAATAAAACGCCGTATCAAAATTTAAAACTCTCACGCCTTCGAGAGAACTATTTTTTAAAAATGTCTGAGGTGATTTATCACCAAAAAACTGACGAAATTAAAACGAACATAAAATCATCAAGGTTTTGGAAATAGCCAAACCTATACTAGCCTCTGTATGGTCAAGGTCATTGTTTTGAATGAATGTTATGACACAACAAATACAATCTAAATAGAAAAGACAGCACAAAATTTTCTTTTATAAGTGAACAACAGTCTGTTTATATGCAAAGACTTAATAGTTTAGCAAGTCATACATTTTTGTCCTACAGTGTTCAATCGTGATACACTGCCACTGGAATGGGAAACCAGTTAAGATACAGCTTCTTCTGTTCCGTCCAGAACCCTTTGAACCACTTTTTCACTCTCTTCGTTTAAGCTTTTCAAAATATTGAGATGGCGTAATAATTCAAATGCTGTCTTGAAGTAAGATAGTACTCATATAAATTACATTTCAAATTTCTACAACTTTCCCGTTTATTTGGTTCAAAAGGTAATCATAGTCTGAGAATAAATGACTTAAATGAAAATATAAGTGCTAAATATCAACAAACCTTGTACATGTTGTTGAACAGACTATTATATGGGTATCAAAAGGCTATCTGGAAATAATGTTAAGGTTGTATCTCAAAGGAAATGTTCTTTGTCGATAATCGGAGGCCAACTCGAGTTTGACTGGAATAGCGTGACCAACCAGCTTACATAGAAATTATGTCTCACGGTTCCTACCTAACTTTGATTACTCTGTAGTGACGTCAAGTCGAGGACGGACCATGAACACCACTACAATTCGATTACGCGCCCAGCAACGACTTGGTTCCTTTGTTAACTTGCAAATCAAAAGGCTTTAATTTGTCCAGATAAAGTATATTTATTGGCGATCTCGTGGTATCAAAAGAATACCGAGACGTGCCAATGAGTACAGGCAAAATGGGCAGAGCGTAAGAAAGTTCGAACCGAACAGGGCGGATACCGGAACAAGAAGTGAGTCTGATGCAGTTAAAAAAGTGCAGTAAAACCATCGCTGGTACAATTGGTTACAGTAATAATTGTTTCTATAATTCGAGACGGGCCGGTCACTACGACTCTTTCGTCGTATTCAGATACTATGACTACGTTGATGCCCGTATGGCCCAAGTGAGGTTGATACAGAAACATATTGACATTTCTCTAGCCTTACAAGTGTATGAACATGCCGCCGCCGAAAACTATGATGCCTGTCGACATAAGTAGTATGTAGCACTAATGGGAAGTTGAAACCCTGGCAGCAGAAGGCTATGGAAGTCGATGTAAGAAAAACAGAAACGGAATTAGAAAGGAATTGTAAATCGGGGAATCGTACAGAATATGAAGGAAAAATGGTGGCAACTTCCAAATGGAGTATTTAATGTACGGTTCCTATATTTTACTAAGCGTTAATGTCATTCAATATTTGAATGCAATTGGTTGCCCCCACATGTATAGTTAATTTAGTTTCGCTTTCAAATGAAAGTATTGATTGTAAACATCCAATATGAGTTTATAAGCTTTAATTGAAACATCATTTGTTTCAGTCAATCACTGATTATTTAATTTTGTGTTACCTGAAAGTTAAATTAATAAAATTAAATTAAATTATTAAATTAAATTACCTGAAATTGAACATTAAAAATTAACCTATATCTAAGTGGATAGTTGATAGTTAAATAAGAAAAAAAACGAGATTAACTGGATCTGATAAATTCCAAACTTTCTTATGAAAATTCATATGATTTATATGTACACTTCATTTATATAAACTACATATATTTTATAATGAAGTGGTCTGACTGACCTCTAATGGTTTGTAGACTATTGTTAATTGTCAATGAACGCCAGGTTCGTACTTATAAGATCTTAAAGGAGAAATATCCTGAAATATAGTCACTAATTGTTAAATAATCACGAATGGAGACAAAAGTTGTTGTACATACTTTCACTCTCCATTGAAAAAGTAAGGTATAGAAAAATTGTTTTAAATGTATTTAAATGCCTTGAGCAATGTGATTCTTTGAACCTACCACTTATCGAATGGAGAGGTCTTATATAATCTACGTTATCGTTAAGTCATCACGACAAAGTTAATTGTAATATAGAGTTTAAATTCTTTTCATAATAAGAAATTATCCATATTATAATTATGCATCTTTACGCCACTGTCTATTCAAGTTATCAGAGAATACAGGTATCTTAAAGTAGTTGGTTTACTTAGTATAAATATGATATTCATTCGATGAGAATATTATAAGTTAAACGATCAGAAAACTATATTATGAATACCTTTGAAGAATCCTAAATTAAAATAAAGCAGATATCTTGTGTTGCTTAGTTTATAGTGATTTTAAGTTATCTACCAGTTTTATGAGGCCGGTTCAGTGGTCAAAAGGTTAAGCGTTCGCGCGTGAAACCAATAGATCCTGGGTTTGAATCTCGTGAGGTGGGATCGTGGGGAGTCCCACAGTAGGACGAAACAGCCTTCCAGCGCTTCCAGTTTTACAAAGTAAAATAATTTCATCAAATGTAAATGTTTTGTACAATACAGTCTTGGCAACTATTATTTATATTGTTTAGTTATTACAGTTTATTCAAAGATACATTTCATATTATTTATTAATAAAAGTCAACGGAATAAGTAGAATTATTATAAGATTAACTTATGGCTGTTTATAAAATACACTATTTACTGACCTCAATTAATCACAAAAGCCTTTTTTGTTTTGTTATTACTATGAGGAATTTATTTTCATGGAGTCACTTTGTTTGTTTAACAGTCTTAATGATGATAAAAAATGATGAAAACTAACGTTATTTGATGAGAAATGGAGCAAGGTCATGGATTTAACTATAAATGTTAACCGGTATATTTATAATTCAATACTCTGATCATTTATAATTCTGTTTTCTAAATGATGATGAAAACATCAAGAGCTAGACAGAATTTCGTCACAGAATGTGAAAATGCCATCAATAAACAAATCAATGTAGAACTACAAGCTGCTTACAATTATATGGCATTCTTCACTTACTTCGATCGAGATGATGTATCATTTCCGAAAGCAGCTGAATTCTTTCGAAAAGCTTCACATGAGGAACGTGAACATGCAGAGAAGTTGGTGAAATATCAAAACAAACGGGGTGGTCGAATAGAATTTATGGATTTAAGAACAGCTCAGAAAACTGAATTAAATGATCTTGAAGAAGCATTTGAAATTGCTCTAAGTTCTGAAAAGTCGATTTGTCAGGTAGATTGACTAATCATTAAAGTCGTTATTAATAAGTTTACTTTTCGTAAAGTAAGGTATTTTTGAAAGTTTTTCTTTTTTAAATCTAAAATTAATTGTCATATAAAATTTCATGGTAATGGATTTTAAATTCATATGAAATTAGTATCCGATAATGAAGGTGGCCAAGAAACTACTTGAATCCAGATACAGTTAGCCGGGTTTTTTAATCTCAAACTGAGTCATTTGGTTTATAACTGCAAAAGAATTTCAAATCCAAGATAGAACACTGTAAATTGTGATTTAACATTTAGCAAACAGACTATTGAGGTAATAAAAGCTTCTAGAAGTTTCTGATTGGAACATTTATTGCTACTTATTTAACTTTTTTACGTTACTCTCTCCCTCTCTCTCTGTTTTCACTAATACTGATTAATTGACTGATGATTTAATGAGCCAGAAATAATCTTTTCAATATTTTTATGATTAGAAACTTTTTGATTTTGTCTGACATATTATTAAACAATTTTAATTTTTTTCCTGAGAAGTCCCACAATAAGACGTAACGGTCGTCTAGTGCTTCCAGGTTTTACATGGTGGTCTAGATTCAATTGACTCATGATTTCAACTATAAAATGTAAGGACGGCCCGTCGGTAGACTCTAGAAAACCCAGGAAGAGCCGCAGACATTCCATCCAATCACGGCTAGGGGAATGTTCTAGAAATGCCAACGTGGAGCTTCTCCATTGGATGGATTAGTTTGATACCTATGTGCTTATTGGTTGACCTAAATGATAATTTATTTTCAGCCAATAACTATAAATACACGAGATTTCTGTGCTATATTTTGACATTGTTCGGGGCAATAAACTTCCTGCTTGCCAGTCTTTGTCTTCTCTCTTTTTGCGACGTTGTGGGTTCTATCGTTCAAGTAGTCAAGTAGTTCGCGGCATATTAAGAATCAAGGCTCTAGATATAACATAAAATTACTTTCTTAAATGTTGGTCACGTCATGAGTTCGATAGCTAATTTCATTGCTGTATAAAGTGAACATGGCTCCTTGACTAATGTAATTATGATTAATTGACACCGGTGAACGGACTTATCCAATGGAGTAGCAATGTGCTCACTTGTATCACCTATATTTGCAAATCTATTAGTGAATAAATTTTGAGAATTTATCTTCATCAATATGCTGAAACTAAAAATATGGCCAATATGTTCTGATAGTACCTTCATAAAATTAAAACGCGATGTACATCACCTATTTATGAAGAAACTAAGCAGAAAATAACCCAGTAAGCAAATCACTTCAGAATCAGATAACCGTTAATTAATTTTTTTCTTGATTATGCAATCATTTCATGTAAAACTAAATATAAATCGTCTAAATTGAATTGAGGTGATAAGACAAAATCTAAACTGGCCCCAACGCTTTATTCTCACAAACTAACACAGTCATTACAACCGTTTTATTAATTTTTTATCACATTAACATATGCTATTTCATAATTGATACACTTATGAAACATAACAGTATGTAAACGTTTATTATCTTTACCTAAATTTTTTACTCGACAACTCAGAATTACTGCCAACAAACGGATCATGATTGAGTTTAGATATCATTAAACAGAATTACTTTATATTTGTTCCATATATAAAGTCATACTTGCAAAACATTATACTTATAAATATAATGTAACATTGGAAGATTGTAACAAAGCAAAGTAGGAATGCATAGTTGAAATCAAAAGTCAATTGAAGCTAGACCATCGTAGAAAACCTGGAAGCACTGGACGGCCGTTTCGTCCTATTGTGGGACTCCCGAGCAGTGCGCATCCACGATCCTACCTAGCGAGATTCCAACCCAGGGCCTACCGGTCTCGCGCCATAACACTTAATCGATAGACCACTGAGCCGGCATCCGATGATGTTAATGTCTAACTTCAACCAATCCACGAAATTGAGCAACCGTTCACTAATTGTCTTCAGTGTCCTGCGTTCGAATCTCGCGAGTGCGAGATCATGGACGCGCACTGCTGAGGAGTCCCACAGTAGGACGAAACGGCCATCCAGTGCTTCCGGGTTTACCATGATGGTCTAGATTCAATTGACTCGTGATTTCAACTATGAAAATACTGAAATCTCCACAAAACCCCTTCTGATAAAGTAGAAATGAATTAACTTTACTCCATACTGTTTATTTTTATTTTTTCACCTTGCAAAAATTTGATTTTCTTACACAATACTTTAATTCATCTTTCATTGTTTACAATCCCTATTGGAATTACATAATGTAGCTGAAAAACACAATGATCCAGAGTTATGTGAATTTATTGAAATTGAATGCTTAGAAAATAAAGAACAATTCATTAAAACAATTGCTGATTATTTAACACAGATTCAACGCAATGGGAAACAACTTGGTGAATATTTATTTGAACAATTAACATTGAAAGAATAATTATAACTGAAATACAAATTAACTGTGAATAATCTTGTTTTATGCTTATCCATCTTAAAAGTAGTAATAGTAGTAGTATATATATGTATATAACAATACTGTCCAATAAAATACTTTGAAGGGATTTTCAGCATATTCTTTCTGTTACGACTATAGATCCTTTGGGTAGAAAATATATACAGTAACCTACTCTGATAGTAAACAATATTATGTAACAAACTTTAGATTTGGTTGGGATATTAGGAAACCATTAGACTTCATCACAAGAAAATTCGTAATTTGGAATCATCAAAGGAAAAAAAAGAGGGCGATTAAAGTGAACATGGAACAAAGCATTGGAGAATAACATCAAGACCATGAATACTGCTTAGTAATAGCTAAATATAAGAGCTCAGTACAGATTCTTGAATATCTCTGGTTGACAGCTTATGCTTCAAAAGAGGTAATGAACTTCAGTCAGTAAGTAAACAAGGAAGTAAGTAGCTAAGTAAGAAATTTGTTGACCGGAATTATTCATTCATTTGCATATCCGACCATATATATATAGGTATGGCTTCATTTGCACATAAAAGTCTTATGTCAGAATCATGAATGGAAGCATCTAATTCAGAGGTTGATAAACATTTGCTAACATTTTTAGGACAGAGAAAATTACATATATTTCCCATACTGTTGATCATCAAACAGTTAGGTGAACATAATTACTTTTACTTAGGTAGCAAATAACGTGGCACTTCAAACTGTACATATAAAGATCTACAATAAAAAATGGAAGGCATGTAGGAATACAATCAAAAAGTTGAGAAATGTAAATAATTATATATATATCGATATATCGAGTGCAGCAAACCTGATTGGGACTTTCATGTTTTTGTACCAGATATGATTTGTCATAATGATCCACGTATTTCTGATGAAGTTTCTTATAAATCTGAGGAAAATATGTTGAATGAATCAAATTATGATCGAAAATCCTATGCAGTTTTGATAGATGCTGATTTTTCTGACGACCTATTATCCTACAATGAAATCCTTAATAAATTTGAGGAAAATATTACAGAAAAATCAGATCTTGATGTTACATCAAATACCAGTTGTCCTCATAATGCATTTGTTTCTTGTGGGAATCTTGTTCAATGCGAAATACGAGTAGTAAACGAGTTCGATTTTGATTACTATTCGGATGATTTCTTATTAAATGTTGTTTATCCTTATGATGAAGTTATTTCTAATGAATCCTCTAATCAATTTGAGAAACATGTTTTAAATGAAGCCACATCATTTATGACTTAGGGATATGAAAATCCAACATTATTTCGTTGGGGAGGATAGTGTTGTAAATTCTAAAGTTTAAATTCTAGATGTACATAACCGACATGTTGATCATATAAAATTTCAGGAACCAGATGGGTCCGTTCCCACTTCAGTGTTTAATTCTAATACTAATAAGTATATTCTATATCATACAGAGTCTACATCCAATACATAGTCGGACAGATACAAGATGAACCTAAGGAAAAGAGGTACAATTGATTAGAAAAATTTGGATTTTCAATTAAGCTGAGGCGGTTGTGGTGTTTGTATGAATTAATGATTCCTTTGTATTTCATGATTGCCTGATTTTGAATTCCAAATATATTATGTTCGTTTGTGCTTACCTAGTTCTGTTTGGTTTAAATTTCATTATTTCAAGGATTTTTAGTTCGTATAATAGTTCAAGTACTTCTATTCACCACACTGACGTATCGCAAATTACAATCAAGTATTTTACCTGTTACCTTTTGCTTTCGCCATCTCATATCAGTCCGTATCAATTAATATTTTCGAACGAAATAATAGTCATAAACTTCTAAACTAATGATAACCTTCTTTTCAGTCCGAATGGGTTATTAATGACAAGGAAATATAATCTATATTGTTTCATTTTACCGAATAATGTATCAAACAAAGTGAATAATGATTCCTTAATTTAAAGAGAAAAACTCGATTCCTATAAAAAGTATGATATTTCAAGCATACCTCATAAGAACATTCAGACATTATTTATATTTTCCATACATGTTCGATGCCTTAAGAACAAACCAAACTTTACGTTTTATCTCATTGGTACAATAGATGATTTTCATTCATATAATCTATATCGGACAGAAGATGTCCGTATAAGAGATAAGAATGCAAAATATTATGTGCAGAAGTTAATAAGTAGCGAGAGAAATTAAAAAAAAAGTGATCGGAATGTATAATCAGTGATTTACATGACAGAACTTTTTTCGATCGTATTTGAGATCCAACAAACGTTGGCATTTGGTTGTGACCATTTGTAAAGTCATGTTAGGTTCCTATTCAATGCGTACTAAATTTTAGTGCGGATGTTAACATCTGGATTCTTTAATCTGCAGATAAAAATCAAACATTTAAATTGATCTGACGTAATTTCATTAATTTTGAATCGCTCATATTCTTGATTTACTTTTCCAGGATGAGTGAGATAATGATCGGATTAAGATTTTGATATTTAAGAACATTGATAGCGAAAGTCGAACAATGATGAATGTCCTCCAGGTATTTTAAATAACATTTGAACTGTACCATTAAGAGATAAATCAAGTTGATTTTTTAGCAGAATGAAATCCATAGATTTATTGTATTCATTTGTTCCAAGTCTTCTCAGAAGTAAGCGAACTTGGTCTGCATCATCGAGATTTGAGCACGGAATATGTCCTCAAAAGGATAAAACCAGGAATCAATATGACGCCAGAATCAGGATTATAGTCTTATTCATAAATGAAATCTGAGACGGTTTCACATTTATCTGGTTGTGAGGTTGAAGTTGAATGAGACGAGAGCTTCTGAGTCAGTGCATCCAAAGGCACCGCTTGATTTGCGTCGCCTTACGCTTGCTGAATTTGTAGAATGGTTGAAAGGTCGTCCAAAGACATAGACATTTTCTTTTCGGGCAGTCGAAGCAACAAAAGAATTTCCGTCACCACCTTTGTTGCATCCTTGATCAGTCTACCCAGTAATATACAAGAGAGAACTTGTCTCGATCTAGTTTGACACGATAAGCTAACCTATGTAACTGAGAGGCTAGAAATGTGTTAGTCCGAAATGAGACTAACGGCCTATTCCATAACCTGATCGGTAGACAAGCGAGAAAGTGAGGAAGAAGACTAGTTAACTGAAACACTACTCAATTTATTCCTGATTCCCAATTCCAGATTAGTCTAAAAAGATACATGAATAAATATATGACTAACATGACCACAATGTACAAACAATTAAAAAAATACAATGATCTCCAAACTGAGCGTTACGGTAGAAAAATAGAGCACAAAAGGTTACGTTTAAATTACTATGGCTTAGAAACAGAAAAGGGTGTGTCAGTGAACCACTTATTAAATAAAAGCTTATGCTTTATAGAATAACCTAGGGACAAAACTAAATGTTAGTATCTTAGATACTTTGAATTAAGTCCAATAGCATCCCCAAAAATAGCTTCCATTGTACACTATGACTTTTTTGTTTCTCTATTAACATCAGTTTTATCAAATATTTTAATAGAGTATTCATTGTTTTATTATGAAATCTCGAAAACGTTTAATAGCTTATATTGTTCATTGTTCTTTTTATTTATACTAATGTTAGTCAGTCATAATCTTCCCAGTGCATTCTAATCGCAAGTAGTATCGTTATGTATTGTTAAATATCAATAAAATTACTTAACATCTTGAGATGGTGGACAAGATTTGTAGCACAGGTGGGTGACATATTTAAATTCAATAAGAACCAATCAACATCGAGGTGCACAAGACAAGCTGTGAATCACATATGGAAAAATTCAAACACTTCACTTCTACCCAAAGTTTGTGCTGATAATGTCGTTCAGAAGGACGATGAAAGCTCCATGACCGAACCACTCAACTCAGAGTACAAAACTCCATCAAAATACTTAACATCTACCAATCAAAGAAACTCCACCTGTAGCTCCTCTGGGGGTTACTGCCGGTCCCAAGCCCGGGTAAAGGTGGAGGGTTGGGCATGGGGTTAGCAACCCCATCCCGTAGAAAATCAACTCGCTAAAAAAACGCTAACCAGAAAAAATCATTCAAACCTTTCAAACTCTGCCCTGGGAGTAGAAGGAATAAGTATGACGTCTCGTGATGAAAGCCGAGTTCCTTCGGAAGTCATGAGGCCGATGCATCTTCTTACAACCAGAGCAACAATTTTTATAGGTACATGGAATGTCCGAAAAATGTGGGAGACCGGAAGAGTCTTCCAAATTGCTGCAGAAATGAGAAAATACAACCTGGAGGTGCTTGGAATCAGCGAAACACATTGGACGCAGGTTGGACAACAACGACTGTCTTCAGGAGAACTTATGTTATACTCCGATCATGAAGAAGAAAATGCCCCACATACACAAGGAGTTGCATTGATGCTGTCCAGAAAAGCACAAAATGCACTTATAGGATGGAAATCTCATGGACCAAGCCTCCTTCAAAACAAAGAGAGAGGGCATTACAATGAACGTCATCCAATGCTATGCGCCTACCAATGACTACGATGAAGACGCTAAAGACCAATTCTACGACAGATTGCAGTCGATCTTCGAGAAGTGCCCAACCAAGGATCTGACCATTTTGAAGGGAGATTTCAATGCTAAGGTTGGTAAGGACAATACTGGATACGAAGACGTCATGGGACGACATGGACTGGGAGAAAGGAACGAAAATGGTGAGAGATTTGCAAACCTATGTGCCTTCAATAAACTGGTCATAGGTGACAACATATTCCCACACAAAAACATACACAAAGCCACTTGGATTTCACCGGATCACACTACACAGAATCAAATCGACCATATCTGCATCAACAAAAAGTTCAGGAGGACGATGGAGGATGTGAGAACCAGAAGAGGAGCTGATATAGCATCCGATCATCATTTGCTGGTCGCCAAGATGAAACTAAAACTCAAGAAGCACTGGACAACGGTGCGGACA